ATGTCTTTACAATATGTATATTATCCATTGTTTCTGTGAATTGAAAAGATTTAAGAAAAACTCAGGGTTTCCAGGTATTCTCTCTCTCTCTCTCTCTCTCTCTCTCTCTCTCTCTCTCTCTGATCTGTCTATCTATCATCTATACACCTGTCTATATCTATACATATATAATCATTTATTTACAACATTCTAAAATAAAAAAAAATAAAACAATAATGCTGAAATTACATTCTTTTATGCCATTTCTGGAAAATGGAGACTTTACTTCATTATGTTTAAATTATTTGAAAACATAGGGACACTCAAACACCTACCATTATAAAATTTATAGTAACATTTTAATCACCTGTACATCCAAGAATTAGATAAAATTATTATCAGTGTTACTTAAAAATCTATTCATGTGAAGGTAGATGTTTTGGAGAAAGCATGGATGAGAAGAAGCCATGAATGTCCAGTACCATGCAGAAATTAAAACCTCAATTCATTGTTGCTTAAAAATGACCAGAAATTCTTTTTTTTTTTTTGAAAGTGAAATTCCAGCATAGTACCAAGAAAAAGAAATATCCTTTCTTCAGTGCATATGAGAGTAAGTGAACACACTATCTACAAAAACTTTGCAGAAGAAGGAGAGATCATGTATTTCTAGAGTTATCTAGGTGTATTCATATTTTTTTCTGGTTCCAGGGTTTTTACCAATGGGTTTCTGATCACTGAGCAACATTTTCAGTCCACTCCACCTCCTTTTGAAATTTAGAGACAGAATTGTGCTAAGATGCKTAGGGCCTTCCTAGAATACTGAGGCTGACTTTGAAATTATGCTTCTGCCTCAACATTGCCCCTGGAATTATAGGCATGCACAACTGTGCCCAGCTTCTGTCCAAAGTTTAGATCACATACTGATGTATTTGTATATCATCTGCATCAGACATATACCTTATTTACTGAAATAATATAAAATATGTAAGTATTCTAAAGGTAAGTATACAGCTATGTCTGTGATAATATGTCCTTTATATTATAAAGCATTATGGTGATCAGGAGCCCTTCATAATACAAGCTAAAATAAATCACCAGGCATGTCCTCTCCCAGCCATCAGTCTTGCCACTCAGCACAGAGGAGTTTAGAGCCTCAGAGACAAGATGAGAACTTCTTATCCCCCTGCAATGTGTTCAAGGGGCCTCCTCAACTAAGGCACTTAACTCGGTGATGGTACTTGTAAACATACTCTTTGAAGCAAAAACATTTTTTTAAACAAGAGAAAGCCAAGTATTCTAAAAAATACTGGACAGTGCACAGAGGGGGACATAAATCACAGGGAAAGTAACATGGGTTGGGCATGGTGGTGCACATCTGTAATCCCCACACTGTGGGTGTGTGAGGCAAGAGAATTGCATTTTTGATACTAGCCTCAGCAACTTAGTGAGGACCTAAGCCTAATAGCAAGACCCTGTCTCTAAATAAAATGTTAGAAAGACTAGGGATAAGGCTCAGTATTTAAGCATCCCTGGGTTCAAACCTTGGTGCAATAATAATAATAATAATAATAATAATAATAATAATAATAATAACAGCAACAAAGGAGCATAATTTGTTTTGTCTTATCCATGTACTTAAACCTCCCCCTGCTCCCATCACCTACTGTATGTTAACTAAAGATGAACAATTGAGTTCCGAGAGGGGGGCTGGTTCTGGTTCATGTGAGTTTGGGACTGAGGGGAAATTGGGCAGCAAGCTGTACTTTGCATCACAGTTCTAGCTGGGAAACTATGAAGAGCACTAGGGAGGAACAGCTTGCACATCAGGGAGGGCACAACCACTACCATCCAGGTGCTATGCTGTGTGAAAAGCCACTGTGAAATGTGCAAGCTACAGGAATATGAAGGAGGAAAGCCTGTAGATTATTTGGGTAAATGAGTGATGGCAATTCCTGAAAAATCTGGTTGATTATCACCCATTGTTTCCATAAATTGGAAAGATTTCAGTAAAGCTCAAGGTTCCCATCTACAACTACACAATAACAATAGTTTGAAATCTGACTTCAGGTTCAGTATTTAAAAAGTTACTTTTATAACAGCAACAAGAAACTCCAAAGGAGCTTCATCACAGACACTAAGCTATCCTTACTGGGAAACCCAAACATACCTGCAGGAGGATTTGTTTCCCTGATGAGGTCAATAATGACATGAGCCAAGTTCAATTTGCTAAAAGAAGAAAAAAGGGAATAGTCTCATATTTGTTCTTTAACTGCATTTGCATGAAAATATGAACTTAAAAAAATAAATGTGGGCACAGACACCTGAACAGAATGAGGATCAACTTTTCCAAATATTCTCCCTAACAAAATGCATATCAAACACAACCATTATGAGGGAAATGGGGAGGAGAATTTTTAAATGAATAATAAAAAGAGACCAGATGAATGGACCATATATTCTTCCTGCTCAACAATTGAAAATTATATTCCCATATCTTTTGGAGGCAAGGAAAAGGAAACCACTATCAGGTTCACTTGTCTTTTCATGTGAAAGTGACACAGGACCACTGCCCTCTCACTCGAAATTGGGTAATGAGCAGAGCACAAAATATGAAGAGGCGCCATTCATTTTTAATTTGTGAGATTAAATGTAGGACAAGGAAGATTTCATGAGAAATTCCAACACATGGTTTGGGTAATATAACGTCATCCCTGTTACTTTCAGGTTTCTGCAAATTTACTTTTTAATTTCTGAAAATTTAGAAAATCGCATATCAAGGAGCATTCCATTTTTTCAGGAAGATGAGAGAAGCCAAGCTGAGCACACTTAATAAAAAGGAGATGGGGAACATGATTACTTCTCTGATTATTTGTATAGGACTAAATAACATAGAAAACAGGAGACAGCACAGATAGCATACACAATTTTCCAGAGAAAATTAAATGGGAACCTTAAATAAATGAAATTTCTTATGGAAAACAAGGAGTAATTTTCTAAGTCTCAAAACTAAAGAATGACATATCTTAGGAAGATTTCCTTCATTGCATCTCACAGAGCACCGTTTTCTGGTTGAGCACTGTGTTTAATGCTGGGTAGCTCTTCTAAAGCTACAAAACACTCACTAGGAGACCCAGTTTGCCCCTTCCTCCCTCATCCTAGAAACCCATGTACTCACAGCCTACATCTAGGGAAACAGAGAAGAGCTTAGCTGGGTGGATACCAGCCACTTGGTGCACCTGAGAATAACCTCCACACTTTTAAGGAAAGGGTGAACTCATCTCTCTGTAGCCTGTAATTTGAGTGTCTATAGTTAGATGATGGGATCCCACTGGGGAGCACAGGACAATGGAGTCCCCAGTTGAATGTTCCACTTGCCCCTTGATTGAATTCTGTTCTGGATAACAGCCATCTGGGGAGAGGCATGCTCAAAATTTCCTCCAAGTTCCATTAACATAAAAAAAATGTCTGTCCCAATTATGTGGAAACCCCAAGTTCTTTCACTTTCATCCAAAGTTCAAATTAGCCCATACTCATTCCACATGTCGTGATGCCTGGATTCTGGGGAGTCTTTTCGTGCCTCCTGTGGCTCTGAAGGTCCTCTCTCTACAATGTCTGATAGGCACCCTCTTCCCCCACTCCATTCTCACGTGGGTCACCTGAGTTTATACATTAATGCTCATGTGCACCAGGACTTCCATAATGAAGATTTCAGGATCCAAGCTGTGGCATCACACAAAAGTGCACGTGAAAGAAAATAGGAAAACAGAGACAGAGATGGAGGCTGTGAGCTGCAGTCATAGCAGCAGATGGAACATCTTTTACATGGGCTTTCTTTTCCACCGAGGATGTCCATGGAACAGGGCAGAGGAGAGTGTGGCTGCAGAGTCACTAATGAAGACCTCCAGAGACCAAACATAAAGCAGGTCTGATTTTATTGCACAGTGTCCATGTGTGTATGTGTGTGTGTGTGTGTGTGTGTGTGTGTGTATATATATATATATATATATATATATATATATATATATATTCAGCCAGTAGCTTAGTAGATTATAGGCAGCCAATACACTTTCTGTCCAACTGTCCTTGCAGAGACCAATCAAGGATTGGGCCATGGAGCAAGTGCAAGTCTGAAATATATGCCCTCACACCCAAGGCTATGCCTATGGGGTAAGGGGTTTGCCCCTCACTTGCCTAGCACAGGGGAGTGGCCTGCCACTCAGATGCCCTTAACATATGCCATGTATGCAGTACTCCATTAACTTGTCCTCACATCTCCCCCCTCTGACTGTGCTGCAAGGATTTCAGCCAGCATTGCTCTTTTTCATTCCCAGGCCTTCACAGGATTACATAAGTGTCACACAACACAAGAAAATATTAACACTATTATAAACAGTAGGGCCAGGGTGATAGCATTATACAGCTTAGTTAATTTGGCTATCAGGTTTTTTCAATGTTCAGTCAATCCCTGGAGGAAAGAGGAGGTTGTCAAGATAGACACCTTCATCTCATTGGTTTTGACAATTGCTGTGGTAAGGTTATGCATGATCATAACATAGTCAGCATCCCAAGTCCCCTTAATATACTGAGAAAAATGGGAGAAGTGTAAGGTTACATTTTCAGATACAGCATATTGGGTGACACAAATAGTCTGGAATTCAGGGTCACAAGTGAGATATGCAACATAAACAGGATATCTAGTTGTTCCTGGTCGAGGTCTACCTCTTCCTGAATGACTAAAATAGCAGCTCAGGACTGTTTATTTAGGTCATTTTGAATGGCAAGGGCTTCTGCCATGGCAGTAGACACATTGTTCATAGTCTGAGCCATCTGGACACTCAAAGTGAGCAAAGCAGTGACAGTGGCTGTGGTGGCAATGTTGGCTACCAGGGCAATAATCCCAGTAATGATGAGGCTAATTGCACGCCTTGTCCAGAGCAGGATCTCCTTCAGAAGGTTCTTCATCTCCATGTCTGAAGCACCCCTCCACTCTCTGGACAGGCTCACTGGAAGCCAGATTTCTGGGGACACTCTAAGGAGAAATATAATTTTTAGTTTTCATACCAGGAGTTAGACAATTTGTAAGCCAGAAGGATCTATTGACTGCACAAGAGATCTCTGTATGATTGATATTTATGTCATCAGTATCATTGATTATTAGCATGGCAAAGGGTTGTGTAAACAAGCTTGTGCATCATGAATATGGGTGTAATTTGGCACAAGGCAAATCCATGATCAGAGTCTGGACTCACTATAGACCCATTCATTCAGCCAGCTGCTGCCCATTTGATGGAGCTAGCAGCTAGCAATATAGGTGTGATACCCATTATGCCATACTGATTTCCTGCATAACAGTTGGTAACAGCTTGTCC